TACATAGACAGCACATGTTTTTGTTAGGGTTTCAGAATATTTCACTTGGTGAATAAAGATAAGAAACCATTGAGTAATTTAATATCTTAATAATATCAAACTATATAACTATATAAGCATATTGCATCATGAATATTTAAATTTTATATGCCATTTACTCACTTGAAATAATACATATTTAGATAAACATAACATATATAAAAACAGGTTAAAATGAGACTAATGAATGTGTTATATTATACAGGAATAAATATCACGTCATTCCATATGAGTTATCGGCAAAATTCATATGATTTGGGAATCGCATCTTCGTGATAAGTTACAGAGGGTTTTTGAAACAATTGAAAAAGCTGAATTTAATGTATTAGTAAAACATTGGATTCTAATGGAGAAAATACTATAAATCACACTTCGCGAAGGAATTCGGCCCCCAGAAAAAAAAATTGGTGCTGAAACCGCAAACTATTTAAGGCTAAAAATAAATCGCTCTACAAAAACGGAATCGGTATTGATCTATGTTAGCAAAACGTTGCATGGAATGTATTAAATGTGAAAAAGTCTATATTGGTAAATGAATTCGAATAATCTCTAAAAGTTATTACGCGATTAGTTATCTGTCGACCATCATTATTGAATGATGGTAAAGTAGATATTTTAAAATTGTAGGTGTTGGTCATCAAATTAGATTTTTTTTAATTTTTAATTAAGTTTCAATATACGCATTATAAGGGTTCTCAAGCTCTAATGACCCCTAACTACTATAGAATTTGTATCTGATTTTGGTTTTTGTGCAACAAAGTATCGATAATCATTAAATACATAAGAGTGCATAGGCAGGCAGTTCATATGCACATGAGTATTTATAGCAATTTATAAAAAGTATATATAGAGACATAAAAGTATATATTCCATAAAGAGTTTTTTGTTCGGAAGTATATGTGTATGTGTATGTGTATGGTTATGCAGGCATTTTCGTTCATTCAAGTATTAAAACAAACTATCTTTTATCTGCTGACATTGCTAAATATCTGTATATCTGTATGTTTCCTTGCATGTACGTTTGTATGTACATTTGTATTTATTTTAAACATGCGTCCATGCGTTTATGCGTTTATGCGTTCGTGCGTTTGTGCGTATATGCGTATATGCTTCGCTCTAATTTTTTTCAATTTTTTTGTTTTCGTTTGTTAAGATATTTACGCTTTTTTAACTTTTATGTATAGATTTTCTGTGAATTGTGAATGTTGTTCCTCTTACTGTTGCCATTCGAGGAGTGCGTTTGTTCGCTAAGATACTCAATACTCGTACAAGTTTGTTTATGCGTATTTTGTGCATTCTTAAAGAAGATTTATGAACTCCCAAGTGGAGCGTACGTGGCCTTTGAGCACTTTAGCAAATGTTGTGAAAACTTTTCATTTCATTGGGCACACAAACCGTACTCCATATTCACTTGACTACATACAAATATTCGAAATATATATACATATATATATATATTTGTATAAAAATTGATAATAAAATGAATGAAACTTTTGTATACTTGGCATATATATAAAGTGCAGAGATGTGGTTAGCTTCAGCTTCTATATGGTTTTATATTTAAACTTTGTTTATGCTTTTAATATTTTGTTTTGCATTTTTTATATTACTTTTTTATTTTTTTATTTTTTTTATTATTTTGTATTTTAATATAAACATTTTATTTTGTTTTAGTTTTAAGAGTATTAAGAAATTTGACATAATATTTTGATTAATTGTTTGAGTTAAGTGTAGTTGAAAAGTTGATGCGAAAATGTCTTAGTTTGGTGCTCTTTTGATATTTTTTTTTTGCATCTTCCAAATCATTTCAGATGCCTTTAAGATACTTTGAAGTTTATGAAAGGACTTCCTACTCTCTTTGACTTTGTTAATAATAACGTAACAATAACATAAAAGCAGAAAGTTTTTGTGCTCAAGTAAAATAAGGAATAAAAATACTTTCATATAACTGTGCTTGATTGCTCGTAGTGCTTGGCTTTTTCAATCGAAGTTACAAGAAAGTGTCGATATCTTAGCAAGTTAAGATTACAACTTTGTTATATTCTAAAAATTTTACTGGATAAATTAAATATTACAACTTTTTTGGTGAAAGTTAGAAACAAACGAAGTATTGCAAGCTTGAATTCAACTCAAGCATTTCTTATATTTCATTACTTATAAAAATATTAAAAAATAATTCTTCGATAATTCTAACAACAATAATTCAAAAAATAAATTTAAACACAAGTTAACAAAAACCACATCACCAATTCGGGACAAATTGGTACGATAGATATTGGAATGGTTTTCAGCTCCTTTACCATATTTATAAGTTAATCAATTATACAGAGTGAAGGCAAATTGCGATATCTTTATTTAACATAAAGTATAAAATAAATATAGAATATTTGTTAACAAATACTAACATATCATTTTTCAGTTAAACCTTCTTTAAGCTATTATTTAGTAACAAATTTTTAATACCTTCTTAAATTGATAATCAAAAATTATTTATTTTGTCTTTTATAATAAATACTCAGTATGGATATATTCAATATGACGGTATTTCTTACCATTAAACGATTTGGCTTTACACTATTCTCATTTCAGCTTCAATTTATTTAAACTTATCGGACATTATATAAATAATATATCCAAACTTCAGATTCGCAACTGATGCCAATACTTTTTCTTCTAACAATTATTATTACATATATTTTTATAAAAAGTGATTATTAACGCTTTCCGTTTTACTGAAAGAAACTAAATTCTTAACATAAACGATAAAAATTTATTATTTTATTAATAATTTAAATTTTGGCTGACCATACACCTTTTTCAGGTATTGTCAAATACCCATCATCAGTGGTCTTACAATTATTACAAGTATTTAATCATCCGTGAACAATTTTTTGAGACTGCAAGTACCAAGAATCGAACTCGTGCCCTGCCAAATTTGAAGCTCAGAGTCAGCGTTCATTAGCCAACTGATCCAAAGCCGTACTTGCCTTCATAGTTCGAACTTGCTTTTTTGTTCATTAACAAATTCACTTGTGTTATTAATTTCTTGTTTTAATATTATTGTTTTTTACGGGCGAATTCGTCAATAGTTATGGTATTTTTTGTTGTGTTATTTTAGAGCGAAATCATAAACCAGTTATTGATTAATTCAATTGATTAATTATATTTTTATTTTTAACTATTAAATTTCATTGTGTATGTATAATTAATACAATCTAAATGATTAGTAAAATGCCATTAATGTTTATACCTGTTATTTATAACTTAGGCAGAAGATTTATAGGTCAATTTCCTTAAACAATCTTCAGTGGATATTTTAATTAATTTGTTCAGTTAATTTTAATTAATTGCAATTAATTTATTTCGTATTCTTATTTCACTGAATTCACAATTCCGCTGTCCGCTGTTGTTCTGTCCTCTACTGAACATTGGCTTCAAAGACCAACAAGCAAACTACAAACCGCATTTATTAAATAATTGAAATTGTGCAAATATAATTAAATATTAGTAATTTATTTCCACTAAATTTGCTTATCAATTAAATTTGTTCATATGTATGTGCTTTATGGCAATCGCCAATGATGACTGAAAACAAAATATTGACAAATTGTGTGCCGACTCGAGCAATTTCAGTTGCATTTAATTGATTTTAAGTCATAAAATTTAATAACAATGAAAATCGTATTAAATTCGATTCGCAGTAATTACGTCAATTTGCGCTGAATATGGCCATTCCGGGCTGCGACAATTTAACGCAACATAAAATTTTAATTAATTCGCGTCCTTAAAGCGAGAAGCAAAAAATTAATGTTACGTATACGCCACGGTGCCCGGACGCCGGTTGTGCTCGTAAGATGTGCGACTGCAGTGGCCCTTCGAGCGTTTCAACTACGGTTCGATAGGAGTCAGCTAATTGTAGGTGTAGATATGTGCATCTCGCTTGCATTTAACGAATTAAACCATTAAACTTTTAACTCTATTTTCCCTCTACAACAGATATTTGGAGTTGTTATTTGAAAATAGAAGGTGTAAAAAAATATATTAAGTTGTTTTTTGATGCTTTCAACTATTTTTTAGTTTTCATTGGGCGGTATCGATTAAAGTGCTTTGAAAAATATTATATTTTCCAGTTAATCTACTGATCTAACAAAAAGTTTCTTTTACGCTTAATTAAATCATTAAATGCATAAGTCCAAACCTGCAAGTTACAGTTATACAAAGATATATATCACTGATAATGCAAAATTATTTCAATAGAAATCTTCTTAGTTTGACAGAATTTCAAGCAAGATATGATATGACAGCAAAAAGAAAGCAAAAAAAAATAAAAAAAGTTCTTCTTATTGGAATTCGAACTATTGAATGTATAATTTCTGGACACAACGCGACTCAAATGAAAGCTACAATAGTCAAATAACTGTCAAGTAATTAAGTCTTCGAATTAAGTATTCAATGATCCAATTTTTTCTGGCAAAACATCCAACATTTAATTAGTTTTGATATAGTTGCAAAAAACTAAATTGACAAAAAAAAACTTTATATGGAATCAGGGGTTGATCTACATGATAATGTATTAACTTGTGTTAATGATGTCACAAGGAAAAAAGGAAGCCTGTCTATATAATAAAAGATGCACCATTGAAATTATTTTAAATAAATAAATATTGCTTTATACCAATATAGCTTTAGTGCAAAATAAACTCGTTGCTATCACATATTCGTCCTAAGTCTCTAAACTGAATAGTTCTATAACAATAGAGATTTTATTCATCTTTTCTTTTTTGTTTATATTTATTATTTATAAATGCAATCTGTAAAAGTTACCACATATCTTCATTTTAATACAGAAAAATGTTATAATTTAAAGTTATAAACTTTGGACTTTTTAAATTTATGAACGATTGAATAGAAACTTACTGAATTTTTTTTTTTAATCAACATTAAAAACATATGTTACTTACCATCAAATGAATCGAAGAAGCCAAAATTAAGAGAAAATGGATTTGGATTTGGTTGGAAAAATGGATAACCAACGCCAGTATCGACAACTCCTCTGAAATTTTTAAAGTCTGGATCTACACCCTGTTGACTCTTAGGCACGTCAATCACCTCCGCATCGTCAGTTAAATGTGCTACAATAGAAAAAAATGTTTGAAATGTAATTATTGTAGTTATATTTTTGTTTCTATTATTGAAAAGATGACATATCATAAAGTCATAAAACCTATTAATTTTGATAATAACAATTCAAGTGATTAATGTAATTTACATAGCTTATATATAAAACAGTAGAGAGATAACAGTCTGCAATGTATGTGTACTGTAAGAGACACTCTGTGCACAGAATGCCTTCTCTAATATTTTTTCTATGATTTTGTTTATTTTTGATGTATATACCATGTACTATATAACATACATGCTATATACAAATCTACTTTAACATCATTATTATATGAATTTTACATACCAGGTTCTAACCTTTTAAAAACGATTAATATTACTTATAGAATAAAATCTAGAATGACAGACGGCAATAGAACAAATCAGCATAACAAACTAAAGCTTTCATTGTCTAATATTTTAAGCCAAAAGGTAAGGTCTATTGAAAACGAACAAATCGAGACAAAATTGTTCTACTTTGCTACTCTTTCTATATTTTGGTTTTAAATAGAAATACGCCATATTATTACCTCTGAAATTCAAATATAGACGTAAATATATAAGCACCATGCGCCATCAATCGTTTTTTGAAACTTACTTTGTAAGTTAGTTATCCAATAAAATGATATATAGATTCTTCGAGCTCCTTCTATGCAATTGGCAATATAATAGGTAATCAGTGTAGAGTTTTAAGTCTTCAAATAGTCTTCAAATGATTGCTTTTATTATGTTTTTATGTTAATTTGTGAAAAGATTAAAGTTAGGCATTGATTAACAGTTGACATTTACGTCATTAGATTTGATATTTATATCCAACAGTTCAGATACAAAATGTTTTCGGCAACATTGTATTTAATTTCTGATGATGTATAACAAACTACGAAAAGGCAATGATATTGTGGAATTAAAATATATATAATTGTTTGGAATTTATTCGATAGGCTCTATATTAATAAATACGAAAAAATTCTCAAACCATGACGCCATAATTGTGCAGCATGCCTAATCTGCTAACCCAATTATTCATATTTTATACACACTACCCAGTTACCCAGTGCTAGCACTAACGTCTGGATTACTGAACACTGCAATATTCTACATAAACGGAAATATAATAGCATAGCGTCATTTGTTACTTAAAAAATTCTAACCCAAGAATTCCTTGATGCATTGTTATTATTCATACTTACAACAACAACAACAACAACAACAACAATAGAGCTAATAAAAATTCTGTTGCAATATTCGGTACGAGCACTTTCGAGTCCTTATTACCATATATTAATTTCTATAGGAATCATCTTCAACATAGCCACATACTCACTTATTATTGTACTCATTAGCGAAAACCGCAGTAATGTGGTAAGAGAGCGGTAAACGGCGGCGGAACTGCACAAGACATAAAGCATTCATAATTATCTCGAAAATATTTGGTATTTTTGGTCTTCACAATATTCTGCAAATTTTACCGCTGCTGTATCTGCTGTTCCTGCTCTGTGGCTATAGCTGTTGGCTAAGCAATGCTGTCAACAGTGCATAATGTATACCTGGCAGGCAGTTAATACCCATACAGTATACCGCTTGGCACATACATATATATACATGCCAACCAGTACATCCGTCCCCCAACAAATGTGCTTAAATATATATATATATATATATATATATATATATATGTACAAACAAACTGAAATTAATTTATCGCCCAAATTATACGCGTGGGTTATGAATATCTTGAATGCGCCATTGTCGTTGGCGGCAACGCCGTTGCTGTTGTCATCTTCATCTTTTACTTGGTCTTCATTAAGTGGATGCCTCGCGTCTGGTGGTTTAGCTCGGCAGTTCATGCAATTTAACTTGGCAAAGAGCGAGAAGAATGTGTATTTTAAAATAAGCTAATTTTCTTGCCATGAATTATGATGCGAGCAAAAATAATTTGCCATGTCTGAGTTTTTATTTTAAATTCATGATAATTCTATTTTTTTTTTTTTATTTGGATTTTGGTTGTTTTTTGGATGAGATATTTTAGAAGAGAATTCTCGAAAAAGTAAAATCTCACAAAACGAGCAGAATATTTTTTTATCATTTATAAAATTGAAAAATATCGTAAAGCGAATGTGTGAATGCTGCCCGCTTGATTGATTCGTCGATTGATTGATTGATTGATTGAGTTTCGCTATTAGGAAAAATAAATTTTAGTTTATAAATCCGCAGATGCTACCAAGTGCGTACGTAGAAGTTTTGCAACAATGTATTTAAAAAGAAATATTATATTATTCAAAAATTAAAAAAAAACGTATTTGAATAATGAAAATAGTTCACAAAAGAATACTATTAAGAAGATCACTTTATTTTGTGGTAAGTGGTGTTTCCTCCTCCTATATAAATAAAAATTGTTCGAAACATATGTAGAAATATTCCAATAAACAAAAAATTTTGAGAAATACTGTCTATAAAATCTGATAGATTCAGCGCGCAAACAGAACTCTATCTTAAACAATATAAAAACTTGTTGGAAACATGTTAGAAACTTGAATGGATCAGACTTGGAAGAATATTATAAATAAAGATATTCCTATAATTGACATAAAGTGGAAGAGATAAATCTCTCTTTCTTTTGTGATTAATATTTTGCCATACATTTTACTATACTATATACGAAAGATTTATTCGACAACTGAAGAAAAATCAGAGTCACCTTCTTTGTGGCTGCCCAGCCTTAATCTCCACTTCTGACATTAGGAGGTCCTCAATGGACGACACTCTGGCTTTCATTCGGAAGGCGGAATGTTTTCTGTTCGGTTAGAGTCTGTTGCAGCACAAAAGATCAACTATTGTCGCAGTGCTCCGCTCCGTTGGGAGCTGGTACCCCGTTTATTCCTATTCCTACTACACACGAAGATGAGAATAATGAGATTGTTCTTTTATTTTACTAAAGTTGTTTAAAAATATGTTACTAAGTAAATTATAAAATATTAATTAATCGCTAATTAAAATGTTAGCGAATATTAAGAATATATTTGTACTCTTAGTATGATATCAAAGTGTTGTGTAAATATTTGCAAATGCCGCATTTATTACTAAAACTATATTTCAGTATATTATATATTTAATTACTTTTCTAATATCACGCAACTCAAAAACTAAATATTTCAAGCATAACTGGAATAAATCGAAACTGTCAAATCATCATCATCAATAATTCAGATAGTTTTTTAATGACTTTTCTGACTGATAAGTGTTCTTTTTTTGTTCCAAAATTCTTCTGAGCTTTCTATACCTTTTAAAGTGAATTGCTTATGTAGTGATTTTGGATCGGAAACCTGGCTTGCTAACTCCGAAAGAGAAATGAAGATTGCAATCATTCACATATCGATGCCTGTGCAACATATTAGACATATGGTGGCCAAGAACGATTTTAAATGAAGAGCTATGGAGAATAACGCACCAAACAAACGTAAATAGCGAGATAAGAAGAAAGAAGTATGGTAGAATTGAACACACACTACGTACGCCTTATGAAGATATCGCGCATGCTGCACATCCTTGGAACCCCCAGGGGACTAGGCGCAGAGGCAGACCAGCAATGACTGGAGAAGAACAGTTCAGCAGAAGACGGGCAAATCGTTTAACGAGTTGAGAGCAATAACACAAAATAGAAACCAGTGGAAAACTTTTGTAGACTCCTTAAGCTCCTAATGGTGTATGGCAATAATAATAATAATGTAGTGACCGACCCGTTGATCCATTTTCACTTTTTAAGTTTTAGAGTAAGGGATTTAAATTAATTTGTTTTTTTGTTAAGAGTATGAATATTTATACGAAGGCTTGCTGGTTCCAAGAACAAGTAAGCAAATGCCTAAGACCTATATATAAATGTATCTGTCCGTCCATACTTTTTTGTATTTTTATTTACTGAAGAAGCATATTTTCATAAGTGCCTTAATGTCAATTAATAAGTAAAGAACAATACTCTTTCTTACTATTGTTCTATGAATAAAAATAAGTAAATGGAATAAGTAAGACATAAGTTAGAATGTCGTAAAATAGGTCAGGAACAAATATAGCTTATTGCCTATGCTCGTAGCAACAAGTAAATGATTTTTGATGGGGTTAAAAAATAATAAAGACTCCTGAATGAGTACTGAGTACTTTTGCAGTGTGCATTTGTATTTGAAGTGTTTGCATTTATCTGAACCAGAGTCAAATTGCATCTGCCTATATGTATTTCTGCATGCATGTGGAAATACCTGCACTGATATCAGTAGAATGCGTGCCAATCAAGGCATGAATGACATTTTTACACAAATTGCACAGCAATTGAGCAATTCAGTGCATGAGTACACAGTACACAGATCGAAGCAATATAGATACATGTGCATCTGTGAATATGAATGAAAGTATCTGTAGATATACACATCCGGTTCAGAGCAATGTAGGACATGGTTATGCAGATTTAATAGGATTCAATTTTGCGTTAGTTATACTCCAGTTTTTTGTTTGTTTATTAGTTCACACATTTCTTTTGGAGCTCATCAAATGGCAATGCTAAAAAATTGTTGCCAAACCAAATAAAAAATGCCATTTTTCAGTAAAATCTTTGCTTTTATTGAAAATAAATATTTTTTTGTTATGAGGTTTTGGTTGAGCTTTTGCTTTTGAATCGTGCAATTCATCGGCTTTCACATACTCATTGTTTTTATTTAAAGTGTTAAACATTAAAATTTTAATGAAATTCCTTTTCGTATTCAATAATTTGCACGGTCTTTGGTTTTACTGCCACGCAGCCATGGTTCACCGCAACGCGTTGACTTTGGCGTTAAACGTAAAACCATGAAAAATTGCCTACAATTTGAGCCTTTGATGCGCTTTTCATATTCGCTTTTTTGTTTCCCGTTTTTTGGGCCAAGTTTTTCTGCTCTTTATTTACCTTAAAAACACGTCCTTATAAATGTACGTATATTCAGAACTTTACGACAATTTATGCTATATTTTTTGTAAATAAATATTTGCACTTGTAAATGACATTCATGCGATTTTTCAGCTTCTGGATGTGTGGTTGCTCCACATTTTTTCCAAATTTTCACATTTTTTAACGCTGAGGATTTCTCTTTCCTCCTCTTTCCTCCTCTTTCCTCCTCATATTGTATCTTTTTTTCCATTTTTTCGTTCTTACAATGGCAGGCATATGTCTGTAGATTTGTAGATTTGTAGATTTGTAGAGTTGTATACGAGTTTATATATGAATGTACTCGTATGTAGAGAAAATTTTTTAAATCGGCTTAAAAGTGCAGTTGACACATAAATGCCATTGTAAGTCCCATTGGGAGTCGCATTCACGTACGCATTACGTAAATGCGTTACCGTGTTTAACGTCATACCGCACTACTTACGTGGCACCTACACTTTGACACAAGCAGCATTCCGACTCAAATCTAGAAGCTCACAGTTGATAAAGTTCTACAGCGAAAATCTCTGTCAGTATCTGTGATGGAATGCGTACATGAATCAGTGTCAACCGCCAGAATTTACAGAGAGCAGCTGAGATTTATTATGTGTAAACAGATTGGATTTCTTACGATTCTTCTTCACGGTTGTATTGTTTTTTCCTATATGAGTTTTTTTTAAGAATATTTATGGTACTTATTTATTTATTCTTTTTTTCTCTCGTCTGTTTTATATAACATTAAGTTATATTTACTTACGTTTTATGTCAAAAGGCAGCGTAAACAGCGTAATTTCAATTACTTTATTCCTGATGAGATAACTTTGTATCTCTGAATTGATCGGCTTAATTTAAAAGTTTATACTTGTAAAATAGTAGCATAAAAATCACATTAAATATTTTTACATATCTTAATTGTGCACCTTTAATGCAAACAACTAGCTTTCAAGGAAGAAACATAAAACTGCTACATAGAGGACCACCAGGGAAATAGTCTTTTATCGCCTATCGAGTCATAGCTCAAACTATAATTTTCTGACGGTGTTACCTTTACAATAAGCTTAATAAACTCAAAAGCATATTTCAATCTATTAAAGTATTCGTTCAAAAAAACTTTTTAAATAAATACAAGAGGTTTGTTCAGAAAACAAGGCGACTTTCAAGGCGTGCCTAGTACATTCGATTTTAGATATGTTGTTATACAAGACCCCTAGCATATATAGACAATAGCAGCTATTTTGGATGTAGTTGTTGCTGCATAAAGATATAGACATCACAGATATAGCTATTAAACGTGTTTTGGTATACTTGACAACTGAAGTACTCCAACGTACTTGAATTATTAACTATGGCATTTGCGAATCTATTCTAAGCAAAATAAAATGGTATTCTGCCTACTTACAGAAGGCAGAGAAAATGTTAATAAAAAAAATCGCCCTAAGCGTCCAGCACATTAACAACAGATAATAACATTGAAGCAGTAAAGGAAAAAAATCGGCGCATCATAATTAGACAACTTACTGAGAATATTGCATATTGATGGTTTTTTTCAAATATTGGTCGAAACTTTCACAAGAGTATCCCTCAGGAATATTGAATAACGTGAATAACGATTCAAACTACAGTTGCCATGTCACAGTGATCATATTTACCAGACTTAGACCACTCCAAATTTTTTCTCTTCCCAGAACTCAAAAGACTCATGAATGGACGAAGATTTGCCAAGTTTGAGAATATCAAAATCGCGTCTCTGAAAGAGCTCATTATTTTATTAAAAACCACATGTCTTAGTGGTTTGAAGGATTGAATAAGGCGATGTGACAAGTCTATTATATTTAGGAGGAATCCTTTTGAAGCGGACAATATTAATATTGATGAATGAATGAAGATTTTTTGAAAAAAGTTAACTTTTTGTTGTAGAGACTTAAGTTTGTTAAAAACTCAAATGAAACTTCACAAAAAATAATCAAAAAGTATGAGCCAAGTTTGATACATATAACATATAGAAATATTACCACATAAGACGAATATTAATTGAATAGAATTTGAATAGAATTCGAATAGAAATAATGAAAATTTTAAACGAGTAGAAGCAATATAATTAAAATTTGATGTGATAATTATCTATTCTTTCTGAACGTTGTAATTTTTTTGGAGATTGATTTCTTGAAATCAGCCTTCAAGAACTTTAAGTAGATATTTAGCTTAAGAATATTAAATAAGCGAAACATAAGCATGAAGTTATTAAATTAAATCATTATGAAATATGTTTCCAATAAATCTAAAACGAATCTCACTCTATTCAGTCTTGATTTCTCGCTTAGAAGTTAAAAAAATATATTATATTACAATTATATTAGTATACAATATATAAAATTAAAATAACTACATAATGACCAACTCTCTACTATATTCATGTTAGTCATGTCCAATTCTTTCATATTTCTACCAAAGTGAATATTATTGTTTAAAAATTTTTTGACAAATCTCTAAATCTCTATTGGTAGTTACGCAGTTGGATAGAGCATAAAGTTGGTTAAATTTATTTGAAAAACTTTCAATCTATCTAAATAACAATAAAATAATTATTCGAAAGTTGCCAGATATTCTCACAGATACATATCCTTTACTCGCATTTAATGCCTTTAATTGTGTATCTAAAGTATCCAAAATTTTCAGTTCGGATACAAATCGTAAACGAAATTTATAACAAAGGAAAGATACCAAAAAAACTTCTTGCTTAAATTTAATTTTGGGTTTGTAGGTCAAAATTATAAATTCCTCAAAATATATTTAAATTTCAGCTTTTGCTATAAAATTTTGCCTTTATTAAAAACTATTTACGAGTATAAATGTTTATAATTTTTTTTGCATGTTTTCTCTTATGGCTGTGGTGTGGTATAGTGTGGTGATACGGTTCGATACGATTAAGGTATATGGGCAGTTTTCGTACAAACCTCAATCCAATCCGCAAATGTGACAATCGACAATCGCATCACGTAGCAATGTTCTGGAAGATTGAACGTTGAACGTTTGTCGCGTAAAAATGAGTTTTGTAGAATTTGATTTTGATTGCACTGTTTTTATAGGACCATCGAAACGTTTATGGCTAAATGGACACACAGTCACACATTTTTCCAGTGTAAAGTTACAAATGTACATGTACCCAAAATGCGAATTTTTACTTCTGCCTGGGCTTAGGTTTTTTCCTGTTTCGCTTTATGGTTTGGTTTTATAAAACTCAAAGTCGAAAACTTTATTTTCTTTTGCTTAGTTGCCCACTTTGGGAAACGTGCAGTGATTTTTAAAAATATTAAAATAATTTTAATTTTGATACCCTACACACATATTCTTTAAAAGCGAAATAAGTTTCTCAAAATGTTTGTAACACAATGCCTTACAGACATCGGAACACCTCAGCTCAACGAAGTAATTCAATCTTGGGATATCTGTCTTTCTTTTTTACTCTATGTCTTAATGAAAACCACTTCCTCAGCTTTACAGACAGACGAGTAAAACATTTCACATTCCACATACATACGTGCAGATACAGACAGAGATCGCAAATCATTTAATAAATGTACTTTAAACACTTGTTGGAGTAGTCATAATCGGATGACTGTATCCCGTACCTAACATATAGACTGCAAAATCAAAACTTATTTTTCTTTATTATTTTTCTTTATTATTTACTTAAATAAAATTATGGTATATGCAATATCAATCGGATCAATTTAAGCTAACTAGAATTACATGTTTTCAGTCCTTCATTTTTCATTCGTATTACTTTACTATATAACTATTAAAACTCATACTAATCGACACATTCACGGAATCAAATATCTTATAGATTGAAAGCTCGCATACAAACTCTTTAAATGAAAACTTCTGTATTTCAGAAAGAATCTCCTCCAACGTTTTATTATAATTTTAAAAAATAATATGTTAATATACTTGTCATATATTATTATTTAAATAAATTTTTTTATTGAAAATGAAAATAAACTGAACAGAATCAGGTCATCTTAAATTTTATTGATCGAAATGTTTTTTTGCTAATCTCACCTACAGCCTTTGTTGTAGGATTTCCATAAACTCTATGGGAAGAGTATTTAAGCTTCGGTGTTGCCAAACTTAACTTCTGAACTTGTGTTTATTTTGGTAAGCACTTAGATATATTCTTTTTTTGTCAGATTAAAAAGCGAAAAATTATTTTCCTTCTTGTTAATTTCAGAAAATTTCATTTGATTGCAACGGTAACAGAATTTCACAATTTCATATCCTGAAATAATTTTTATTTTTCTTTATACAATTAATATGTAAATCACTTTTAAAATTCCTTTCCTAACTTCCCCTCAAAACACACTTTTAACAATTTTTCCACAAGGGAAATGGTTTTTAGAAAATCGGATCTCATAGATGGAATATTAATCGAAATAGATTCGTCTGCAGCGAACTGACAACTGTGCATGGATTATTTTGAATTTATTTTAAACTAATTATGCCACATAGTGAGACAAACTGAAAATCAACTAGCAGAATGGAGGCCCATGCGTACCGGCAAGCAACACATCATCCCACAATACAATCATCATCTACAAGCTCCAGGCTCTGTATTCTGGAGACCCATCAATTGCAAAACATCACGTTGTGCCATTGGTGAAATCGAAAACAAACCTATAAACCGATGTCAGATATGAGGAATAAATTTTAACTTCCTTAAAAAATTTTTTTATTGTTAGCAAGAAATGAACGGTAAATTGGCTGTTTTTAGAGAGAAGCCACAAAAACTTTTCCACCTGAAACTCCATGCTAAGTCCACTAGTAATACGAGTATCATTAGTTCATTTTTAGTGGACTCTGAACTAAAGCGACTCTATTTTTATTAAAAAGTGTTGAATGCACTTCAATAAAATTACCATCTTGACTTTTAGTTAAAAGTTTGCTTCAGTTATGCAGACTTGTTTGTTTATTTCATTTTTTAGAAGTGTACTTACTCTGAAGGATTACTATTTAAGTGAATTCCGGATTTAAGTGTAACTGGACTTCTCCTTATAGTGTATGCAATAAGTTTTGGTTTTATTTTCTTATAAAGTTTCGCATAATCTTTACAGAATTGAATTTTATTGAAAATAATAACCTACGTGTTCATTTCATTTTGTAAAAAGAAGTTTTGGTAAGCGTTTTTTGGGCGTTGATAAATTAATAGAACTGTAA